GGAAGGCTGGGAAGTTTAGGTGGCTGCATCTGGTGAGGTCCTTTTTGCTGGTGGGGACTCTAGTAGTGGGGTCCCTCTGCTGCGTCCTGAGGCAGTGTGGACCCTCACATGGCATGGCAGAACACGATAGCTCAGGTCTCTCCTCTTCCTGCTCTTATAAAGCCACAGTCCCATGGAATGAGGATCTCGCCCTGTGGCCTTATTGAATTGTAATCACCTCCCAGAGGTCCCATCTCCAAATACCATGATCATTAGCATGGTAGGAGAGAGAACTGAATTTGTGACTTTTCCATAATGGCTAAACTTCATCTTGTTAGGACCTACCTGATCACAGCAGTGATATCTGAAAGTAAAAAGGAGACTTAATGGGACTGAAGATTAGTGGTAGAGCAAGTGTGTGCATAGCATGGAAAGGCCTTGGGCTCAATCCCTAGCACCACCCCCTGAAAAGAGAAAGACTTTAGATGTGGAATTTTAGAGTTGAAACTGACTATAAGTCTCATTTTTAAATTTCATAGCTGAACAGCCAAACAATGAATGGTTTTGTGAGAATACGTAGCTATTTATTGTTCAGCTGGACTAGGGTGCTGGTCTCTCTCTATCCTTCACACTCTTCAACCTTCAAATCTCTGTGTGGACCTGTGGGGAAATGTAACTTCTCTGGGTTAATTTCTTTTCTCTCCTTCCCTCGTCCTCAAGTTGAACTAGCTATTCTACCAAGGCTTTTTTTCAAGTGTAAACTATGATCCACCCCAGTAAACTTCTTATCAGTATAATTAAGTGCTGCCAACCAAAAAAAAATTACTCAGCATCTTGTAAATACCATCAGTGCAAAGAGTTAAGTAATGATGGAACACAGGATCCTGAGTAGTACACTGGTGGATAAACATCCTGAGTTCTGTTGACCGCATGTATATGTTTTGGATGATTATAATTGTTCATCTTTATGTCTTATATATACAGTAGGCTTGGTGAAAATATTTAAAAATATCCCCATGAACTTAGCTGACCACTTTGTAACATAGCTGAATATCCTAAACTGTTCAGACAAAGGTTTCAGTGGTTGATTTTAAGTTCAGAAACTGAGGATCTTTATTCATGAGAAAGCCATTACTCTACAGTAAGGTTACTCTTGTTTCTTTACAGCTGTGTTTGCATTTGAAACACTGTGGTCCGAGGGGCCATAACCCTAATATACACAATAGGGGCTCTCTGTTCTCTGCCTGGAACAGCCCAAGTTTGGAATGACTGGGACCTAGACTGTGTACTGGGTACTGGCACTCTGTGTCATCTGACCTCCCAAATGAATCTTTTTCACCCCCTCATAGAAAAATCTTATAAAATTAGTTTAATGAAATTTATATGGTTTCTTGGACATGTGACTGGGACATAAGTTACCAGATGTTTCTATGTATTCTGGAATTATGTGTTTGCTTCTGTTTATCCTTATAGAGAAGAATGTCTCTGTCTCAATCCAGAAATAAGGTGTTTTTTTAACCTCTTTTTTATAACATTGGCCTTCATTACTCTTTTCTGAAGCTGGCAACTCAGTTCTGTCATGGGAAAGGATTTAACTGTGAACTGTATTGCCTTTTATGCCTATAGATAAAGGAATGAACTTCAGGTTTTTGAAGGAAATTTTTTTTTTGTAAGAACTTTATAGTTGGGTTCATCCTCACAGACTCACATATGCATGCAATTTGATTTCAGTTCATGATCCCCTCATTTTCCCTCCCGTCCTCTTGCCCCTCTCCCATTTTTCTTCCTCTAGTAGACTTCCTTTTGCTCATCTATTAATTTATATTTAGTTGGTTCTTTGTTATTCTATCTTCCCTCGCCCTTTCCTATATTTTACTCTAGCTTCCGCATATGAGAGAAAACATTCAACCTTTCAGTTTCTAAGTTTGGCTTATTTTTAAGGAACTTTTGATGATCTTTTGCCTGATCTTCAAAAAGGTGTAAAGTCGCTTTGAATCTCTGAAACTTCTACAGTTCCAACTTTCTATTATAATAAGTATATACCACATTAATAAAACTTGTCAGTTGTTTCCTTGTAGGAATAACCAAAATATTTTAGGGCCCTCAATCTATTTTCCCGTAAGAAAAAAGAAAACAGCAGGAAAGTAAAGAACAGCATGTTAAGGTTCTGCTATCAAGATGTTAGTAAATAAGTCACAGTGTATGCCCATTATCTTCCTCTGTTGCTTGTGAAAAGAATGTCCTCTGATTTCTCAAACTAGGAATGAAACCACCATGTGACCCAGCTATCCCACACCTTGGTCTTTATCTAAAAGAACTAAAAGCAACATACTATAGTGATAACACCCATTTCAATATTTATAGCAGATCAGCACCCAATAGCTAAGTTATGGAACTAGCCCAGGTACCTGTCAGTGGATGAATGAATTTTAAAAAATGTGGTATATGTACACAATGGAGTTTGATTCAGTAATAAAGCGTGAAATTGTGGCATTGGCCAGTGAATGGATGGCACTGTAGAACATCACGCTACATGAAATATGCCAGACTCAGAAAGTTAAGGGTTGAATGTTCTCTCTCATATGCAGAAGGTAGAGCAAAATAAGGAGGACAAAAATTGTGTGTGAGGGGGTTGGATGTCATAAAGACAGAGGGAAAATCAGCAATAGGAAGAGACTGAAGGGGAAGGAAGAGAGAAAGGAAAGGGGAAGAAAATGCTGAATGATTTAGACACAATTGCACTATGTACATGTATAAACATACCACAATGAATTCTACATTTTTATATATAAAGCACTAATTAAAAATATGTAAATTAGTGTAAGATAGACCACTAGAGTAGAAGAATGGGAATAGGGGGAGGAAAAGAGGGGGCACTAGGGACTGAAATGGAACAAATAAAATTCCATGCATGTATGATGATGTCAGAATTACGCAACTATTATGTACAATTGTAATTCATCAATAAAAGCCACCCACTCCCCTCCTACTCCCCCCCCCACCCCCCGCCAAAAAAAAAGGGTTCTCTGACATAGAAACCACATGGAAACATCCCAGGACAAGCAAGCCACTGAACAATGTACATCATGACCCCAGTTAGGCTTTTGAAGAAGGTATTGAACATATCCACATGTTTGTAGACATGGAAAGTGGCACAGGTCCATTTACAGAGGTATCACAGCAGCATTTCTGGGAAGGGCCTTGAGTGGTGGGAACAGAGCATCTTCCATTTACTTTGTATTTCTGCATGACTGAGATCTCTAACAAGAATTCATTCATATGCTGGGAGCTTGACATGAGGAAAGGGAGAATTCTGGCCCAAGAGCCCAGCAGTGAGCCTCTGCAGCTGCTTGTCTGCGTCTATCTTCTATTCTGTGCTCTCGGTACCCTTGCTGGTGCTGGGACCCATCTCTTTCCATCTCGGTCAAGAATTGCAAGTAGGGGTTGTGGCTCAGTGGTAGAGCGCTCTCCTAGCCATGTGTAAGGCACTGGGTTCAATTCTTAGGACCACATATAAATAAGTAAATGTCCATTGACAACTTAAAAAAAAAAGAATTACAAACAGGGAAACGAGTGTATATAAAATGTAAACCACCACACAGAGCAGCAGGAGAGAGTATTGTAAGCCTGTTTTTCTTTCCCTGTGTGGGCTGCTCTCGGGGCCTGTTGTAACAGAATAGGAACAAGAACCTGAAGAGCCTAAGAAAAGTGTGGGACCTTTTTTGAGTTTCCATTTTGTTGTATATTGGGAAGTTCAAAAGGTATGTTTCTGGGGGTGTGATCATGTGGTTTTTAAAAATCTTGGCTATGCACCCTATACCATTTATTCATAAATTTTCACCTTTTAAAAATATGTAGAACATAACAATTTGGATGACTTTTATAATAAATAAAAGAGGACAGAAATGAAAGAGTGCTTAGCTCGTGTACTCATGCTTCCATAAAATTTAAAAGTAGGCAAAATTAATCCATGGTGCTAGAAGTCTAGGAAAGGAGTAATTATTGGAAGGAGGCACTCGTGGGCTTCTGAGGCACCAGTATTGGGTCTGGATGTATCTCTTTACCTTGTGAAAATTCACTGAGATGTCTACGAATTGGGTACTTTTCCACATAAACATTAAAATGAAGTTTTAAAATGGGGAGGGGCAAATTCTTCTAAAAATAGATACAGAGTGTGATGAATGGATGGAAAAATACTCTATTCCCAGTCTTCCTCTTTTGTGCTCATTGCCTCCCTGCCTCTCTCTTCCAAGTCAGATCCCAGGCTCATGAGATCAGGAACAACCGCTTTCTCGGGGACTGACTCACAGAAAGAGCTATCTTTGGTATTAAATTTTATCTATCTTGCCATGGCTTGTAATCCCAGCAGCTTGGGAGGTCAAGGCAGGAGAATCGCACGTTCAAACCCAGCCTCAGCAATTTAGCAAGGCCCCATCTCTAAATAAAATAAATAAGTAAATGGGGCTGGGGATATGGCTCAGTGATAAAGTGCCTCTGGGTTCAATGTCCAATACTCCTCCATCCCCCATTTTTTTTTTTTAAACCTATCTCTTGTAAATTATGTAGAGATTGTTCATTGATTCTTTGAATGTTTTAAACATTCATGTTGTTAGAGGATGAACTGTAATGGCCATTGCATTCTGACTAGGAAACTAGACAGGACAAGCTGCCTGCTCATTTCTCCCTTGCTATTTGGGCATTTCTAAGCTGTTACTAACCTCAGGGTTAAACTCAGTTAAGTGTTTGACAAAATGTTTTTTTTCTTTTTTCACTTCCTTTATTCTTTGGTAGATTGCTAGTAAGTCCCCCCTTGGAACCTGTTAGCCTTTTTCTCCCTGTGTGGACTAAAAAGGAAAAGTGTGGGAGGTGGTGGGATTGTGTGTGTGTTTGGTTTGCTATTGGTATAGTGGCTTTATTCAGAAGTTTTGGAGCTAATAGTTCTGAGTGATTGTTGCTTTGCTTAAAGATTCATTGTATCACTTACTTTTCATTCCCACCCCTTGCTCCTTGTGAACTTTCAGAGCCTTAGACAAACTGAACGGATTCCAGTTGGAGAACTTCACCTTGAAAGTCGCCTACATCCCTGATGAAACAGCCGCCCAGCAGAACTCCTCACAGCAGCCCCGAGGGCGCCGTGGGCTTGGGCAGAGGGGCTCATCAAGGCAAGGGTCCCCAGGATCAGTGTCCAAACAGAAGCCATGTGACTTGCCTCTGCGCCTGCTGGTTCCCACCCAGTTCGTTGGAGCCATTATAGGAAAAGAAGGTGCCACCATCCGGAATATCACCAAACAGACCCAGTCTAAGTGAGTGTTACTGTGTGGTGGGTGTTCTTGTCATCCCCTTTGAATCTTAACAGAGTGTGTTGTTCAAGAACTTGGTGCCCTTCCAAACAGGTTAGGAACCTCTTTGTACAGCATTTGGGAATGTGAGGGGGAAAAAAACAACCTTGTGATTTGATATGAGTGTTTATGAGTGTTCATTTGTGTAAAACCTCAAAGGGAACCTCCAGTTTTCACACATGAATGGAAAACAAATGATACCCGATCCTCTTTTGGTGGGAAAGGCCCTGGCAGACAAAAGGGCAGTGCCAGGTTATTCCTGCCTCACCCCCTCCTCACTTCCAGCCTTCGGTGGTTTTGGAAGTCACCTTCTGGTTCTAATCCATTTCTTCTGTGGCCTCAATACAGAGATGGTTTTCTCTTTTCTTCAGTAAAGAATTGCTCATCTTATGATCCAAATTTATCCTGTGATTAAGCCTTGTTATTTAGAATGGCTTTTTCTTCAGGATGTTGTTTGATAGTATATATTTTTTATTTGTAGATGGACACAGTACCTTTATTTGTCTATTTTGATATGATGTTGTGGATTGAACCCAGTGCCTCACGCATGCTAGGCAAGCACTCTACCACTGAGCCACAACCCTGGCCCTAATTGGCAGGTTTTAAGGGGATTGTAAGATTATTGTTCAAACATTGGCGGTAACTTTTCAGGAGTAGAAAGCAACTATTTTTATTTACCACTGTACTACAATGTTCAAACATTGGAGGTAACTTTTCAGGAGTAGAAAGCAATTATTTTTATTTTTTATTTTTTTTAAGAGAGAGTGAGAGAATTTTTTAATATTTATTTTTTGGTTTTCAGCGGACACAACATCTTTGTTTGTATGTGGTGCTGAGGATTGAACCCGGGCCGCACGCATGCCAGGCGAGCGCGCTACCGCTTGAGCCACATCCCCAGCCCCAGCAACTATTTTATTTATCACTACTATAGCCACAGTGCTAAGGCTGTTGCCAGATGCAGAGGTGGCTCTTACATTATCAAATGAGAAAATGAGTGTGTATGTGAATGGTGTTTAAAGCCCTTTATATAAATATCTAAATTACCTCCTCAATTTAGAAGCTCCAGTGCATTACATGTTAGTTGTTAGACTTTCTAAACCATACTGTGGTGTGCATATTTTTGACTCTGGGGTTTGGTGGTGATCTCTCCCTATCCAGGGCTCTGTAAAATGCTACAAGGCACATCTGGTCCTGTTCCTACTGTGTTTTCTGGAGAACTTATGCTTGCACTAGGGAGAAGAGGTTGGGTATAGACAATGTTGTTCGGTAAGCCTTGGGACGACTACAGAGATGACTGGATCCTTTTTGCCTTTTTAGTTTAGTAAGAGGGTTTTATGTGATTTGAGGAGTTACGCATGTCTTTCTCTGAAAATAGAGCTGTGTGCTTTGTTCCACCAGGCATGGGAGTTATCCATATTCATCACAGGCACCTTGTCTACATTCAGCTGTCTGACTCATTTTTCATGTAGAACTAAAAGGAACTGTATTTTGTGGTGGTTACCGCCACTCTGCCCCCATGTTGTCCTATTTTGACTTCTACTTTGAAGCAAGAGACATTAGGTTGGTACCTGTGTGAAAAATTGATGGCTCTGACCTGATAATATAGTAGGTAGGGAAGACAGCTGAACCATAATCTAGATAAATTTGCCTGGCTTTAATCTTAAATTTTAAAAGCTACTTGCTTGCCATGACCTTCCATTACCTGCAGAAACTTATTACGTGGCTTCCTTTGTCATGTGGCAGATTAGAGTTGTTCGTTTTTGAGCTCCTCATTTCCTTGTTGGATGAAAGAACTGTGACTTAAATTGAACTATTTGTTTTACTTAAGGCAGGAAGATGGGGGATAGAGAAGAAGGGAAGTGATTTTTGCTGTATCTGATGATTTGTTTGCAGAACTCTGCCAGTGAAGTTAATTAACTCTTGCCGTTGAAACTAATCATTATCAGAACCTCTGTTTCTGGAATGGTCTCTAGGGGACCACCCTAATCTCCAAAGTTACGTTCCCTTTTCTTGGGGGATGACAGTTTGGTAGTCCTTAACACAGAGGGTGGAAATAAACAGAAGGGGGGATATATTAACAAGTTACCAGAAGATAAGCATGACTGACACTGATTGGGTATTGAAACAACCTAGGAAGATAGTTCCTGAGATTGGCACTTTTATATAAGACACTATTTTTTTTTTATTATTTCTAGGGAGCCCATACTTGTTTCATTTCTATATTACCCTTATTTTTAGTTACAGGTTTTACTTCTGCGCAAAGCTTTAATTTTCAATCATGTGTTCAGGAAAAGGAAACCCAAACCTTGAAATGATTGGCATAATGAAGTGGTCATCATGCTCATGACTCTGACTCAATAAGTACTTAATTTTCCCTAAAACGTAGATTTTTGGGATAAGCAACAGCAAACTTATTCTGTGTTTAATTCAAATGTACAAATTTGGGAATTAAAATAAGAAAGGCTAAAGGTTCATCTCATTCTTTCTTTTTTTGGAGGGGAGGGCACTGGAGATGGAACCCAGGGTGCTTTACTACTGGGTTATATCCCTGGCCTTCATTATTGTGATTGTAGGTGCGTGCTACACACCTAGCATTCACCCCATTCTCTTTTTTTTTGGGGGGGGGGGTACTGGAGGCTGAACTCAGGAACACTTAACCAGTGAGCCACATCCCCAACCCTATTTTGTATTTTATTTAGAGACAGGATCTCACTGAGTTGCTTAGTGTCTTGCCATTGCTGAGGCTGGTTTTGAACTCGTGATTCTCTTGCCTCAACCTCCTGAGCCGTTGGGATTACAGGTTTGCACCACCAAACCCGGCTTCATCTCACTCTTGAGATAGTCAAGAGTGAGATGAAGCCGGGTATGTATTTATAGGAGTTGTTCCTTGCATCTATTAATGTGTAGCTTTTTTTTTTTTTTTAGTTGTACACAATACCTTTATTTTGTTTATTTTTATGTGGTGTTGAGGATTGAACCCAGGGCCTCGAGCATGCTAGGCGAGCGCCCTACTGCTGAGCTACAACCCCAGCCCCCCCCCCTTAAAAGAAACATTTTCATTTTATTTGTTTTTATGTGGTGCTGAGGATCGAACCCAGTGCCTCATGTATGCTAGCAAGCGCTCTACCACTGAGCTGCGACCCAGCCCTATTTTGTAGTTTTTTAAAAAGAAATCATATTATGGTATATATTTTTCTCTTAGATTAACGATAGAGAAGAAGGGAAGTGATTTTTGCTGTATCTGATGACCACATACTATATTAGTACTTGTAGTTTCATCACCTTTTTGATAAATAGCTTTCTGATGGGCTGGCAATGAAGCTCAGTCGTAAACTGCTTGCCTAGAATGTACAAGGCCCTAGGGTAGGTCTCTGGAAATGCAAAAACAAAACAACAAACTAGCTCTATGACATAGATATACTGTAACTGTTATTATCTATTATTATGATTATTATGCTGATTGTTTTCAGCAAGAGCTGGTCTCCCCTAGTGAATGTTTGGCAATGTCTAGAGACACTTTTGGTGTCAGAACTGGGTAAAGGGTATGCTTCTAGCATCTAGTGGGAAGAGGTCAGGGATGTTGTTACTTATCCTACAATGCACAGGATGCACCATCACAAAATGATTGAATCTGGCTTAAAATGTCAGTGAGAAATACCACTCTTGGTCCACATATGTGATTGTCTATATAAGATGTTATGAGAAGTGTTCTTGAGTTGAAAGATGACAATAGCATTACCTTTGATAGGTTCTGCCAGTTTGCTATGTACTCACACCAGAAGTGTGGGTGTGTCCCATTACCCTTCATCTCACTAAAACTTAATTTTATCCATCTCAAAATATTTGAGATTTGGAGGAAAATGATGTTTCATTTGGCATGCATACAAATTCCTAGTGAGTCTGAACATTATTTGCATTTATTGACCATTTGGTTTTCCTTGAAGTAGAATTGCTATCTCTTTGGGTTCCATTTCCACTACATTTGTTGCAGACTTTCCTCTATTGAGACGGCAGACACAGAAGCCTTGCATAAAGAAAGCAGATGAATGAAATGTGCTCACTTAATGGATATTCTGTGCAGAACAAGGAATTCAACCTGGCTTGTGGGACTCCAGCTCCAGCCCCATTGGCACGTACTCCAGCTCCTATTTGTTTTGGAGCAGAAGAAAGCCTTTTGTCAGAATACCAGGCTCTTTGCCTGTGAGATATTTGTACTGTGGCATCTGAAAGGGAGTTTTAAGCACCAGTAGCTTGGGCTAAATAAAAAGATATCCCTGCTTGGTTGGACTGAGGAAAGAGAGGGGCATGTTCCTGGAATTAACATCTGCCTAAGAGGAATCAGTGTTGACATGTGGTACAGAGTTTCTGCTCTTGAGGGAAGTGGGTCATCCACTCTCTCCCTAGAAGTCCTGGGGCTTCGCAGTTGGTAATCAAAAACTCTGTTGTGAATATACCTTATAGCTCTCACTTTCTCTCTGCTTGTGCTCACTCTCAGAATTGATGTCCATCGTAAAGAGAATGCAGGGGCTGCTGAGAAGTCAATTACGATCCTCTCCACCCCTGAAGGCACCTCCGCGGCTTGTAAGTCTATTCTGGAGATTATGCATAAGGAAGCTCAAGATATAAAATTGTGAGTAAAGGGGACTAACTTACAAAAGAGATTTATATGGTGTTTTATTTTGAATTTCTATGACATAGTTCTTAGAGATTCCCAGCAAACAAAGGGAAATGCTATCCTGATGAGCTACAGTGGTTAGCACTACTAATTTGGTTGTGAAACATAAATCTGATTTAAATATTTAAATATTTCACTTTCATCTGTATTTGAATGTGGAGTGAGTAATGATAATGAGGAAGAGAAATCCAGTGATAGAAGAGGGTAGTTGGAGTACATAGGAAGCCAACCCAGGACCAAGAAGCATCCTGGGATTCTGCTGAGACAGGGACCCCAAATCCTCACTTGTCCTTTACTCAGAGCCCATGGGTGCCCTGTCTTCTGCTCCTCCTCACCCCTGAACAGCAGGGAGTGTAGAGGTAAGGAAACGCCTCAATGTGTGCAAAGGTAAACTGGAGATTTATTTGGGTTTTGCAGGTTGGAACTCTTAATATTTCTTCCATAGGAACTTGAGTGGTGGTTGAGTTCTGAGCCACATTTAGTATACAGAATAGCCACACTAAAAACTGAATCCAGAGGAAGGCTCTATAGTTAGCTCGGGGACCTCATCACCAATGCCTAATTTGCAGAGACATTTAAATATCTTCTTAGCAGAAAGTATTATATATGGTTGGTGCAGTATAAGAACATAATTACTTTTTAGTATAGAGAAAAATAAGGGAAAAGCCTACTATCTGATAACCCTAGTGACATTTTTAAACAGTGATATGTATATAGTTTAGAAATTGTGCAAGATACAGAATGCACAGTAAAAGGAATAGGAACATCTATCTTCTGTTCTTATCCCCCAAAGTAGTACCACTGTTAAGTTTCTTCTATAAATTATATACTCATCTCCATGTGTTAGTTAGCTTTTCATCACTGTGAACAAAATACCTGGCATGAACAACTCACAAGGAAAATTAATTTTGGGCTCATGGTTTCAGAGTTTAGTCCATTGCTGCTCCATTTCTCTGGGCCAAAGGTAAAGCAGAACATCATGTAGAAAAGGCATGGCAGAACAAGGCTGCTTAGCTCATGGCAACCAGGAAGCAGAGAAAGGATTGTGAGGAGGGAGAGAGGGACCACGCCTTGGACCCTTAAACCCCAAATGCATGCCCTCAGTAACCTACTTCCTCCAGCCATGCCCTCCTGCCTACAGTTACCACCCTGTTAGTCCCTCCAAATTATTAATCCATTAAATGGATTAATCCATTATTGGATTAATCCACTGATTGGATTGCAGCTTTCATAATCTAACCATTTTACCTCTGAACATTCCTGCATTAACACAGGAGCATTTGCGGGACACCTCATATCCCAACCATAACACTCCAGGTATGTATTTTGAAATTTATACTAGGATCACACTATTTTGTATCCATGCCTTTGTGTTATGGCATTAGGGGTTTAGGAGTATGGATTTCATTAAGAGAATATGTCTTTGAAGGTAGATATTCCCTGAAGTGAATAAAAGAAAAATAATTTCAAAAATTAACTCTTATTCAAATAACTTGCTATTTTTTTTTTCATTCCCTGTATTCATGCATTGCTAAAATGTAGGCTAATTGTCAGCACTGTACTTAGCATAACGTTTCCCATCTGGTAGGTAGGAAATCAATGTTTAATGAATTAAAAAAAAAAAAAATTTTTTTTTTAAATCCAAGAGTAGGTTTACTTTCCCTGATTTTGACTTCTTTTTATTTTTTTTTTTTGAATCTACAGCACAGAAGAGCTCCCCTTGAAGATTTTAGCCCATAATAACTTTGTAGGCCGTCTTATTGGTAAAGAAGGAAGAAATCTTAAAAAAATTGAGCAAGACACAGATACTAAAATCACAATATCTCCGTAAGTGCAGCCTTGCATTTTTTCTTACTGTGTGTTTTATATTAAGCTCTGCTTTTTACCTCTTTACAGCTGTTTGTTAATCTGTACTGTCACCTTTAGACAGTTTCTCAAACTCTATCTACTTGCCTACTATCTATTTCTATCTATATCGAAAGCAATATCTGTTCTCACAAAAGACACAGGTGCATCTAAATGCTTTTCATTCATATTTTCTAGCTGAGGTCTTGATGGTGTTTTTTTCCTGTATTCCTCAAACTGTAATATGTTATCTAGTTTATTATCCTTTGCTGTATAACAGATTATTATAACATCTCAGGACAGTAATGAACATGGATTGCTCAGTTTCTGTGGTTCAGGATTCAGGAACAGCTTAGTGAGATAGTTCTGGCTCAGGGTCTCATAATGTTGCTAGGTTGATGCTGGCTATTTTTGGAAGGCCTCAGCCCTTCACCTCATGGACCTCTCCACAGTGCTGCGTAAGTGTCCTAGACAGACAGCTCATACTCTCCTCCTTGAGGGAATGATCCAAGAAAGAGCGTGGTAGAAGCTGCAGTGTCTATTTATGACAGCATCTCAGAAGTTACTTACTCTCATATCATTTCCTAATGTTGTTTAAACAAGTCAGCCTTCTTCAGCATGTGTGTAGGGACTACAGATAACTTGGAGAGGGGCATCGTCTCGGAGGCGGGCTACAACACCTGAAGTCCGTGAATGCTCTGAAATTATATGGAGAGGTTTCTTTTTCTGGGGGTGAGTACCCTAGTTTTCATTTGAGGACCTAAAAAGGTGGGATGAAATTGATGAACTGGAAAAGAATGATAAAATTGTAACATAAAATGCTTGGCAGGGCTGGGCTGAGACTGGAGATTAGAATTCTATACTACTTTAACTAGTCCAAGATGAAGAGACTTCATAGACTCCATTTTCTTCATTATTTAGTTTACATTTCTAGTTAAAGTTTGAGAAGAAGAAATAATATCTGACTCAAGTTTAATCTACAACATTTGCTAATAGTGAAAATGGGGACTTTAACTCTAGGAGTATGAAGGAGAGCTGTACCAGTGCAACATATTCTTTCAATCTGTGTATTTAGTTCTGTTTTCCATGGTAAATGTCTCTATATTTTTTTTCTTGAGGCTGTTGACCAGTTTAGGCTTGTTGGGTGTTCTCAGATGTAAATTTTTGTAGATTTTGAAGCTTTAGCAGGACCTGGGCTAAGCAGGGAGTTTCTGAATTTTGCTATCCAACTCTTTTGTAGTTGGGATGGTCATCAATGGACCATTTAAAAAATGTAGTACATTTCCTCCATTCTACTTTAATCTAAATTCTAAAAATACTCATAAAAACTAAATGTAGACAATAATTTCTGATTTGTTTTTGGGAATATTTCCATGCATTTTCCTTGCTTGTTTACCCAGAAAATGCAATTGCACGAGAATGCCAGTTATGCCTAGAGTTGGTCAATACAAAGGTTATATGCTTTTGGATTCCACTAAATCTGTACATCCTTCTAATAATTCCTTTTCAATTCACTTTAAATTATGAAAATGGTTTGACTTTAAGTGGTCAATAAGCAAGCTATATTTAAAACATGGGCTTGAAGTATATACACCCAGTGATTTTTATTGAGAGGATGGGAGGGGGATTTTTTTTTTTTTTTCTTTCTTTTCTGTAGCTTTGCAGTGCTTGGATTGATTCATGTCTTTTGGGGCTTACTGATTTTCCATCGTGTTTGACCACCCACTTTTACACAATGCCAGGCTTCACGGTTTGGTTTTAATTGCTATCTGTGACTGAATTATTAACTGTCTTCCTCCTATAATTTCCATTCTTTATCTTTCCCTTCTTTTTCAATCTGCAGATTGCAGGAATTGACGCTGTATAATCCAGAACGCACCATTACTGTTAAAGGCAATGTTGAAACATGTGCCAAAGCTGAGGAAGAGATAATGAAGAAAATCAGGGAGTCTTATGAAAATGATATTGCTTCTATGAATGTTAGTTTTAATATGAAGGACTTGTGCTTATTTTGATGAATAGTTAAAAGATGTTTTTCCTTGCATTGATATTAAATCTCTTTAGTGGTAGCATCAGAAGAAATGATTTTAATGGGTTTTTAGCACCATACCAAGTACCCTGGCTTAGTAGGAAAGAACAGTCTTTGACATTAGGCTTGGCACACTCTGTGATTTTAGCAAATGTCTAAACTTTTGAGCATTGGCTTCAAGTTACTATTAAAAAATACAAGTTTAGGGGCTGGGAATGTAGAGTATTTGTATAGTAGCATGTGTGAGGCCGTGGGTTCAAACTGCAGTAGTACAAAATAAATGAATAAAATGAAAAATAATTTGTAGTATATCATTAAAGCAAATTATGACATTCCTTAATGGATTGATTAATTCTGAACATGAAAAACTTCAAAAGTCCATCTTAAATTTTGAAGTAAATCATTAACAAAATTCATCAGTTGGACCTTTCATATGAAACAAAGAAGGGAAATGTGACAATATTACCTTTGTGAGAAAAACCTAGAATGCTAATTTTACCCCACATGACAGCCTGTCTACCTTAATGTCATCACTGCTATCTAATGTTTCAGAATCAACTGGGATTAATTCCAACTCCAGGCCTTGTGCAAAGATTTTCTGATACACTGAAGCCTAGTTCTACTCTCCACCTTGCTTATTCAGCTTTTATAAAATTAAAATTAAAATTCCCTTCTGGTTCCTGTATCCATTCCAAAGATTTGGTTGGCAGTACTAACATGGTGTTGGGTCCTGTTTTCCAAAGCGCTGGACTTTCTTAGGCTTGAAACCCCAGGAATGTTGGGTTTTATAAGGAGTAAAGATCTCTTTACAGCTGGTTGAGTGCACCTGGTGTGCTTCTCAGAGAGCAGCTCTTATTTGTGCACCCCTTCAACTGATTCAAGGCATTCTTTGCGTATTTTTGGAGTGCTCACGGCAGGCAGTACCATTTCAGTAGGCAGTACCATTTCGGCTAAGCAATTTCTTTCTAGTGGGGGAAAGGAAGGCCATGCTCCCTGTCCTTGAAAAACCTGTGGGCAACTGATGATCTAGGCAGGGGCAAATCATCTCAGATTTAAAGATATTTAGAGATGTAAACAGATGTAAATTATCTACTGAAGTGTAGTCACTTGGAATATCTGCTTTGTTCTGAAATTTATGTCATCATACAAAATACACAATCTGAATACTGTCACAAATGCTCGCTTCCACTGGGTGCAGTCATGCATACCTGTAATCCCAGCAACCTGGGAGGCTGAGGCAGGATGACCCAAAGTTTGGGGCCAGCCTCAGCAACTTGGTGAGACCCTGGCTCTTTAAAAAATGAAGGGTGTAACAGAGCAGGGAGGAAGAGCATGAGGAAAAGATTAACATTAAACAGAGATGAGAGGTGGGAGGGAAAGGGAGAGAGAAGGGAAATTGACAAGGGAGAGAATTAAATTACAGCAGATGGGGTAGAGAGAGAAGATGGGAGGTGGGATAGTAGAGGATAGGAAAGGTAGCAGAATACAACAGTTACTAATATGGCATTATGTAAAAACGTGGATGTGTAACCGATGTGATTCTGCAATCTGTATTTGGGGTAAAAATGGGAGTTCATAATCCACTTGAATCTAATGTATGAAATATGATATGTCAAGAGCTTTGTAATGTTTTGAACAACCAATAAAAAAAAAATGAAGGGTGCTAAGGATGTAGCTCAGTGGTAAAGCATCCCTGTGTTCAATCCCTATTATAAAAAAAAAAAAGCGTTTCAATTTCCTTTGATTCTTTCATTTGTCAAATTAAAGAACCCTTTTTTTTTTTTTTAAACCATTACAGCTTCAAGCACATTTAATTCCTGGATTAAATCTGAATGCCTTGGGTCTGTTCCCACCCACTTCAGGGATGCCACCTCCCACCTCAGGGCCCCCTTCAGCTATGACTCCTCCCTACCCACAGTTTGAGGTAAGATTATTGGCCTTGGCTTGCTTTATGGTTGAGTGGAATATGAGCAGATGGATGCAGTCAGACATCGTTGGTACTAGTAATGTGATTCGGTGCTAATTGGGACAGATTACTAGATTATGTTTTGTCACTTTAGGAATGAGAATTTCCTTTCCTTGTCCTTGACTCACCAGGCTGATAGTGTCTGGGGCTCTTATCCTCTTGCAGTGCAAGTGTCTGCCCTTATGATCTATCATAGGCTCATATGATCTATCATCAGCTTACAACTACTATGTACTCTCTAGGTCTTATCAGTTGAACCCTAGTTAAAGTAATAGACTATGAGTTATTTTGAAAATTTTGGATAGTAGGATTGTCAACATGTGTTTTTAAAAAGCATAAGAGTTTGTGGCTCTTATGGGAGAGGGAAAAGATTATTTTTAAATGTTGAAGGAAAGGATTTTTAAAAGGCTTCCTTCATCTTTGTCATCTGAAAATTAACTGCTTTGAAAGATCAGGAAAAACTGCGTGCTTTCCATTTTCGGTATTTGTACTTTTTAAGTCGGTGAGCTAGGATGGTTTTTTCCCACAGTTCTGTTTTGTATGTGCAAATATTAAATGACCTTTGGTAGATTCTATAAGAAAACTTATTTTTATATCTAGTCTTTAAGAATAATGTTTTCTCTCAGGTCAGCAATAGGAGACTAGGCATAGCATGAACATAATTTCATCAGGGCAAACATCTGATAAAGTATTTTGGAAGTAGTTTGTAATTTAGGTGCATTTTCAATCATAAATGGTGGAAGACACTCAAATAACAGCTTTCTAGGGTCTTTTGTCATCAATGTGTTTTTACATCCCTCCCTCCTTGTTTGGCTCTTATCTTTTAATGTTTTGTGCGATGGCTCCTATACCCGTTCAGAAAAACATCCAAGTGGAATAGGTTGAGCATACCATTATACTGCTGTGTAGAATAAATATGTGAGTAAAATGGTGTTGACATGAAATTTTATAGAGAAGACAGATTACTAGATTGTCCATGTTTTGTCCCTTTATCTTCCTTTTGTGTCTTTATACCTGTCATTTCTAGTATGTTCAGGCCTGGAAACCATGTAACAAGGCTGAGGATAACCACGAAAATTTCAGCTAAATGTAAGCCATGTGTGGTGGCCAATGCCTATAGTCCCTATTACTCAAAGAGGCTGAGACAGCAAGATTGCTTGAGCTCAGGAGTTTGATGCCAGACCAGGCAACACAGCAAGACTTCATCAAGAAACAAACCAACCCCAAATTTCAACTGACATCAAGTACAAATAGATTCATTATGCATTACCTGAAATTTTCTTAAGTAGCTGCCTATTTATTTGTACTTTCATGCTAAAGGGGTCTAGTGGAAAGAGCCCTGGAGTCAGAGCTGAGGTCTAGCCTTGCTCTGCTGAGAGTTTGTGTCACCAAAGGTCAGACTCCTCTTGGTTCTGGATCTGTTTTCTTACCTGCAAAAGAAAAACCTGAACTAAATGAATGAAGCCTAAAAACTTTCAGGTCAAACGTTTCTAGTCTACAGACTTCAAATTATATGAAAACTGGCGAAGGGCTAAAATAGGAATTTTAAAGTATATGTACTTAAATTTTAATATTTCCACCATCTTATTATGAATAGGCTCATTTATCATAAAGTTGAATGTTGGGGGATATATTATATCCCTGGTATTTCTGTGTAGTGATCCTTACTAAATGCTACAATGCACTGATTACATAAAGTAACTCTGTGCTGGAGAAGGTCACATCTAATATACACTTCTGCTGAATGCCCTGAATGAACTAGACTTCTCTTTGGGCAAGTCACTTAACTGCTCTGTTGTTCACATTCCCTTTGAAGTGTTCCTTTAACTTTTTCTTATCTCTGCTGATGACAGCTTCTAGTCACCAAAGCCTCACATTATTATAGTGTGCTGTAACTGAACATTCTTGGACATTTGTCTTTTATATGGATGCTTTATTGGCAAAAATTCCTAAAGTGAATTATTATGTAACTATTTTAAAAATATAGAAATTATAGAAGATAATGCACATTAATATTTTCTGGATTTAGTCCGTTTTCTCATTTGATAATATTCTGTATATTAGGTTCCTGTGTTATTAGGAAAATGGAGAATGTTTCAAGAAAAGTAAGATCATATTGAGAATAATTTTTGAAGTGCTTTTATGATCTCAAATACCTGAGTGACCTAAGTAACAATTTTGTTTTAAGAATGGGAAGAAGATTCCAATGATGTTTACTTACTCTACTAAAAGTGAGCCAAAAGTAAATGTAAGGAAGATCTCATTGGAATAGGTGATCTTTGCTTCTCCTGAGACATTTAACTAAGTCAAATTAAATATAATTAGAAGTAAACCATGAGAACAGAAGATACAGAAGCTGCCATAGTAAAGGTGGAAATATTGCAGCAAGATAGGATCTGAGAACACCTTAGCTGTTCAAGGACAGATGAAGGAAATGGTGGATCTTACCTGGATAAAACAAGGACAATCTTGGCATCTGTGTTCATTGTGGAATAGTGGTAGGCATTATGCTTTATTCTATATGTCTTTGATAAAATGAAATCCTCAAATATACACCTGGACATTTCCCTCAGTTGTTGTAGGAGGTACCGCTCAAAATGTTAAAGGTAGAAGAAAGGTCGTTCTGACATCTGTCGGGCTGGAGCAGTTGATCAGCTGTGCATATCTTACATATGTTTATTAACACCTAGTAATTTTTCTGTAGGTTTGAACCTATTGCTAGCTTCATCTCTTAGTCCTACTCCAGCCCCAATAGATGATTGATTATTAATGGGAACATTGTTCTATTTGAACTTTTTTTTCAAAAACGTCTACCTACTCTACTGGTGCAGTGGTGCATGGCTATAATCTCAGCAACTCAAGGGGCTGAGGCAGGAGGATTGCCAGTTGCAGGCCAGCCTCAGCAACTTCAGGAGACCCTGTCTTAAAATAAAAATGGCTGGGATGTAGCTCAATGGTAAAGCACCCTTGGGTTCACCCTTAGTACCAGAGATGGGAGGAGAATGTTTATCTTAAAAACCAATGTCATCATCACTTTCAGAAAATATGGCACAATATTATGTGATATGCTGTCCATATTTGAGTTCCTATAGTTGTCCCAATAATGTCATAAATAGTATTTTCAATGAAGAATCCATTAAGAATCATGAATTGCATTCAGTTCTCACATCTCTATTTAGTCCTTTTTAGAAATCTCAAACAGTACCCCCAGTCCCGTTTTCCTCTTTTTTATGACATTGACATTAAAAAAAAAAAAAGCCAGATGATTTGTAGAATGCCTCTAAGGATTTGTATTATGATTGCCTCCATATTATCAGGTTCAGAGCATATCTATTAGGGGTGGCAGGAATACTTTGTCAGGGAGTCACATCAGGAAATAAATTATATTAGTTTGTCTCATTATTCCTCACATTCAATTTGGCCATACAGTTCAGGTACTGTTTGTCAGACTTCTCATTTATGATGAGTAAGTAGTCATCAGCACTTTCAGAATGTGTATCTTCTCCTCAGGAGTCTTTGATTCAGTTGAGTTTCATATTTCTGACATTTGTACAAATCATATAGTACTGTTTTTTTTCCTTTCCTTTTCATTTATTTTTTCCACAATCTTCTGTAAAGTACAGTGTTAATTACTTCCTGCCTCAAGAGGACCCCCCGCCCCAGTAACATTAGAATCACCCTAGGCCATCGGACTGGCCTGGGTAGAGCAGTTGCCTAGCATGTGTGAGGCACTGGGTTTTATTATCAGCACCACATATAAATAAATAAAGGTCCATCAACAACGTTTGAATTGGATTACCCTAGGGGTAAGGCCAAGGCACAAGTATCACTTTTGCACGTGGGGGTGGGGGTGGTGTACCGGGGATTGAACTCGGGCACTGGACCACTGAGCCACATTCCCAGCCCTACTTTGTATTTTATTTAGAGACAGGGTCTCACTGAGTTGCTTAGCACCTCGCTTTTGCTGAGGTTGGCTTTGAACTCGTGATCCTCCTGTGTCGGCCTCCTGAGCTGCTGGGATTACAGGTGCGCACCGCCTTGCCTGGCTCAGCCATCACTTTTGAAAGCTCCCTAGGTGACTTCAGTGGGTAGCCAAGGCTAACAACAGCTGCTCTGTCCTAACTGGGTAAGAACCTGTATCCTCATACATAAACCGAATCTCAGTGGAGCAGGTGGGAGCTTGGAGACTTGCGGTTTTAGAATGGTCATCAGGAGTTTTTTGCTGCTCATTTGTTGCCAAGAACTGTTGTTCTACAAGGAATGTTTACTAGAGAGGACTTCAGTGGTGGCAAGAATATTCCCTGTCAACAACAATGCATGTCAGAATACATTTTGGGGTAAGCATAAATGCCCAACTCTGGTGTCTGTCTCTCTTTGTATCTTGATCAATGTTTACTTTAAAGAGTAGTAAATGGATGGACTGGGGTTGTGGCTCAGTGGTGAACGCTCGTCTAGCTCATGTGAGGCCCTGGGTTCGATCCTCAGGATCACATAAGAATAAATAAATAAGGGTATTATGTCCAAGTACAACTAAAAGATAAATATTTAAAAAAAAAAAAAAAGTAGTGAATGGACGTATCCCTTTAACTCTGGGCCACTTGTCATTCTGACTCTTAAATACATACAGGCCAAAAACTTATGTGGGGTGCTGCCATCTGTTTTCACTCTTCTGAATCTACCTTGGCAAGCTGTACATGTTGGAATTCAACTTAGCTGTTTTACAAGAAAAAAGTGACTTAAATGAGTTTTTCATGAGAATTCAAGCACAGACTGTCTGAGGTGGTGATGATTCTGTCTACCTTCTGCACTCTACTAAGTGTGTGTCCCCTGGCCCAGGGTACTTAACCTCTAGACACTGGGTTTTATTCCAGTGAGCAAGAAGCATAAAAAATCAAAATTGGTGGCAGCATTACTTAAGGATAGTGCCTAAGGGTAGCTCTTTACACTCCCACTAGCAT